ATATTAATGAAACCAATGATAATAATTTTATTAAAAATTTAAGACTCAATGCACTTTTCCACGACTAATGCTTTTAAAACTTGAACGATTATTTTTGGGGAATTACCACAGGATGGAATATATAAAAGCCATATAACCGGTGCCGTATCAAAATGTCATTTTGAGCATATATATATACATTCCAAATCCAAATTTACATATATGTATATCCCCTTACACGCTTTCCATATCTAAATACTGGGGCGTGGTAAAACTTCATTGCGCACAAAAACTATTTAAAAAAGTTATAAATTCACCTGAGGTTATTTATGTTTTACATAAATTATTTTTAGTTATGCGTTATTTTTGTTTGTACAGATGTATGTATGTATGTATGTATGTATGTATGTATGTGTGTATGTACGTATGTTGTTGGTAGTGTGTATGTTAAGGTTAGTTTTTTACTTGAACACAAAACGTTATTATGGAATGTGGTTCACCTCAGCAAATAACCGATTTTTTTGGCTGCGACTTTAAGCACTTTCAAACTTTTCTTGCATTTCTAGCGTCTCAATTTTTGGATTTGTACTCGTATCGTGTATAAATTAGAACTTAACAAATTATTCACCTACATATATGTACATATGTATGTACTATATATAAATATATCAGCGGATATTTACAAAGTTTGTCACTTTTCAAATCCTTATTTTTTAGCTGGCTCAACCACTCGCGATGCGAAACCGCCTGAAACTGAAGACAATTTGAAATGGTCTGAGCCGCTGAGGCAGACAACAGTGCCAACAAATTTAACTTGGCAGTGAGTACGACTGCAAATACATAAATGTCACTGTTTGTGTGTTAAAATGCTTTAATGTGTTTTGGTGTGTGAGTGTGTTTGTGAGTAATAAGTACATATGTATGTACATTTGTACAATTATGTTATATAAACATATTTTAAATAGTCCTATATTTGAGGATTTGAACTGCCCGAAAGGTACGAGCGAGCAGTCTTCCTTACTAACTTTCCTGTAGTAGCGAGAATTTTTTACCGTTTTTCAATCACAATGAATTATATACATACATATGTAGTTCAGGATTAAAAAAAAAACACCGTTTGCTGCGATTGCTTCCCAAGGACCAAAATTAATGTGATTGTTTCTGGTATGTAGATTTTTATTTGGTCAATCATTTTAATTTTAATTTTGTGAATGTTTTATTTGTTTTTTTTTATCTAAAAAATTAAATATGAAAATAATGGTTATACATTAAATAAAATCGAAATGATGCAAATTATAAGAGAGCGTTGAAATATCATTGGAAAAAAATCAGTCTTTTCATGAGTTTTATTTTTCACGAACTGGTCCACCTTTCGTTTCTGGGTATTAAATACGGGCAGATAAAAAAATTCACGGGCGGCGGGCCCGTGTGTAAGCCCGCAAGAACGGGCCGTAATATTTGCTGTCAGCACGAACTCGTGCGTGCATGGGCGCTCAGTAAAATTTCATAAAAGCACGAATAAGCACGAAAAAGCCCGTTGCTAATACTACAAATTTAGATAAGCTTTTGTTTTTATACAAAATAAAAATAGTACATATTTAAAGCTCTTTTGATAAAAGAAAAGGAAAAAAGGAAATATTTGGAAACCGATAGAAAAAATCATGATACAAAAAACAAGGTAGTTTCAATAAACAACTTTTTGATTAAAAAGCAGATTTTTGACAATTGCTCAATTGTGAAAAATTGGAAGCGGCGTTACCCAATTGTAAGTTTTTTGGTGAGGGAGATTTTATATCCTAAATTTGGGATTATAAAGAAAATAGTTGTATTAATATATACCTTTTAAAAATGATCAATATCTTATCTTAAAAACGTTTAAATTTACATTAAATTCGATGACAACTTGCCAAATCGTTATTTTAATATTAATACAATTTTAGTGAACATATTTTAAAAATTTTTTAGTGTCCTCATGTCATCTCATTATTTCACAAAGTAGTTTTCTATATCGGATACGATGATTCTGATGTAATTCAGACGCTGAAATTACACATGTCGATGTGTTATTTAATACTCATTGTCTTTGTCCATTTAACAGCAAATGGAATTTACTTTAGGACCCATGGGCCGTAAAATTTTTCTAGCAACACATATTGTTTTCACATGAAATTTTGACACACCTAAAATTTAAGTATAAAATAAATAGATAAAAATAAATTTTCAATCAAACTGATTTGTGTAGTCCTGGGGCGTCTTTAGTAAATGTTTGGAGGCTGTTTTAATATATCCTATCTTATTATATATTTTTTAGCTTTACTACATTCTGAGAAGTTGAGAGAATGAAGTCTAATATTCTTTTTTGGTCAACTATGATGTTTGATTTCATTTTTTGCAATCATTAGTTCATTTTGTTTGAGGAGTCACAATGCCCATACCGGCTGTACCGATTTTTTTGAAATTTCGTACACAAATTTTCCAAGAATGGCTATAGGCTAAAACAAAACCGATATCTAAAGGGCGTGTGGAACCTCCCACACAAATCGAATTCTTCATAGTGCGTATCTCTGGAAGTATTTGTGATAGAGTCCTGGAACTTTGTATGGATATATGTATGGATTTATTGGAAAATGCGGCGTGCCACCGTAGAACTTGGAATAGAGGTAACTGCAATCAATCCAGAACCTATGAAAAATGGGGGTATATGAAAACGATCTCGTAGCCATTGAAAAGAGTTAGCGGTATAAACCAAATATGTAAACTAAAATTCTTGTGACGCACAGATATCTCTGGAAACATTTACCTAGAATACTGAGATGAGGTATTTTTCCAACGGAAATATGTACAGAAAAACGGGCGCGACACCTTCTGGAAAGTAACATGATCACAGGATGTATCCCGAGAACCATTTTAAGCCAAACCTTCAGGGATACATTCTTGCCAAGACCCATAGGCATAAGCTGAAATTTCGTCGCAAGTTTTATCATCGGCTTAGGTAAGGTTTAACCACTTAACCCCCCTTTGTTTTCGTCGCTAGTGAATTCCATAAACTGTCAGCTTTCACACAATTAAAATGTACATGTAAGAACAAAATATTTTTAAATCGACAAAAAATTAATAAGAAAATTTGAAGGATTTTAGATATTGGGTATGGTAGCACGAAATGTCACAATCTGCTTAATTGTCAGGTTGTTAATATGGCGACGAAAAAGTGACAATGGAACTACCTTGAAAAAATAACATACTTAGTAGTTTTGTTTACATATCTGTTCATAAAATACCTTCCACTTTTTCTACTTCCCAGAAAATATATTATAAAAATCTTTAATGTAAACAATGTAAATATACATACATAAACACAAAATTTAAAATATTTACATACATATGTATGCAATAATAAAAGTTGGCTCTTTATTTCCGAGCTGGGACGTGTCCCGTCGTGCCGAGCCGGGCCGCACTAATATTCTTAACCAGTGATCGGAGTTTAAAAAAAATCTGTGTGGTAGAATCTGGAAAAAAAATGTGGTAGATTTCAAAAAAATGTGGTAGATCTCTGGGTTTCGATCAAACTTTGAACAAAAATTAAAAAAATTCTGCAAGATTTCACCTAAATGGTAAACTTTTTAATTAGACTCTAAAAAAAATTTAATTTTATTATAATAAAGTGCAAGATTGAAGTTGCTAAAAATTGCGTTGAGTTTTGGCAATTTTTTCCCCTGACAGTGTAAAGCAGTTCCTTCCATACTAAGATATTTTTCGAACATATTTTAAGAGATTTCTGCAACCTTGCGGAGTGCTGCCAGCTTTTCCTTTTATCACATCACGAAGTAGCGAACAAATGTGGCACGTTCCAGAAATAGCTAATAGGGATTTGCCGATTTTGACAATTCTCAAGTAAAAGTAAACAACGCCTCAGAAACCTTATATGCACTTAAATTTGCTAATACTTTCACAAAAATCGTGCCACATGCACTAACCCAATCATGTATACAAAACTGAAACCTGTTTTCGGCCGACTGCCCAGTCCAGTGTGCGTTCGAGTGGTGGACTGCTCAGTCCGACTGAGTAGGCTAGTGTGCTCAGGCCCATTTAGTTATATGTATTAGAATTGGGATAATATCGATAGTACCGCCACTCGATAGTTTTCGAAACGATAGTTGAAAACATCGATAGTATCGATAGTACTATCGTCGTGAGAAGTATTGAATTGAAATGCTAAATTGCATACAAATTAAATAATTAATAAATTTATTAATTACTTAGTAAATTAAATAGATTATCTAAATTTGCTTAAATTTGAGTGCATCAAATTGAACTTCTTATAATAATAAAATAAACTTACTAATTTATGCGTCTGAATTATGTATACTTATATACATACACTTGCATCCACTTGAATAGCGACAGGCAAAATCTGAATTTATTTCTTATATGGAAAAATTAAATTCGGATTTTGTTTGTCCCTTTTGAAGTGCAAAGAAGAGAATTTGGCTATAATAATACATTTCTAACACTACAAAACAAACAAAATAAAACATATTCGTTTAAATTGACAACTCATACTTATAAAAGTTCAACTGAGATCAAATACGGAGGCGCATATCAAAAACCGGACAAAGGAAATTATTAACAGTTTACCATATTATAAGAAAACGAATAAAGTACTGGTCAAAATAATAGCACCACAACATTTTTAGCAGTTTTGACTATTTTTTTGTTTGTCTGTACTGTCTACTAATTTTTTATAAAAGATGTACAAAACATAAGAAAATACAAAATCATTAAAATTTCTAGCTTTTTAATTCGAGTTTCTATAAAAATTTTGTGTGAATTTGACTATAACTCAGTGTAAGCTTATAGTTGCTAAAAATTCCAATAACTAAAAATTTTTTTTGCCGACTGTATTGTTAATTTTCTTGAATAAAAAATGTAATGTTAAGAGATGTATAGAAGAGAGAAGTTTCGCTAAAACCGACATCGATAGTTTTCAAAAACTATCGATAGTGGCGACAGTTTTCAACATCAATACTATCGATAGTATCCCAGTTCTAATATGTATTTAGATTGACTTTGCATTCATTTAATAAATTATTACGAACTAAATATGATCAGGAACGTAATAGTATGTGGGGTTCTCGCACTTATAATTAGTGTCACGAACGGTGAATTGGTTATTGGGCAGGACGATCTCAGTGAGGAACTAGTAGGACTATTTACTATTGAAGGAAGATTATTTTCTCCCGAAACCCAAAGCAGAGGCTTATCTGAAACTTCATTATCCATCAACAGCGGTGAATATAAAGGATTTTTGCGCGAGGATGGTTCATTTATCATTAGCAGTGTACCATCCGGAAGCTATGTGTTAGAAGTTCACCACCCGGACTACTATTACGAACCAATACGTGTGGAAATAAACCCCAAAGGTAAATTCCGTGCACGCAAAGTAAATTATGTGCAGCCTTCTCAGATCATACAAGTGCCATATCCCTTAAAAATGAAGGCACTAACCCGTTTTAAATACTTCCAGACTCGTGAACAATGGAAGGTAAAGTACTTAAAATTATAACAATGCTCCTTATTCTAATTGCTTTTTATTCAAAACAGATAACAGACTTTCTGTTCAGCCCAATGGTTTTAATGATGGTGCTACCACTTCTGGTAATGCTTGTTTTACCGAAGATGATTAATGATCCAGAGACAAAGAAAGAAATTGAGAATATTCAGTTCCCAAAAGTAAGTACGAACTACGCATTTATTTTGATATTTGTACAAAATAACATTTTGAATAGGTAAGCAACGAAATGCCAGAAATCAGCGAAATGATTACCTCATTCTTCTCAGGGGCAAAACCACCAGAGAAGGAAAAGAAGACTGTTTCAAGCAAACAAAATAAAAAGCGTAATTAGTGCGAACTCGTGGTAATGCATAAAAATGGATTAATCTATTATACCCATGTAGATTTATAAGAATTGGTGTTATGTATACCGCAAGAACAAAAAAATTGAGTTGTATTTTTTGTGTGCTTGTTTTATTTAAGAAATCCTACGGTAGTTCTACGTTTGGAACCCACACGCCCCTCTTCAAGTTTTAAAGCTTTCTCCAACTCGTTATTCAAGTCTTCCGCGGCTGATAAGCCCAAATGTATGCAATTATGCAACGTATCCTTATGTAAAGATCCTTCACCTATTGTATGGACGTTGGACATATAGCCTGGAATTAATAGATTTCAATTAGTAATAAATATGATAAAGGAATAATTTAATTCTCCAACATTTGTCTTTTCTTTTTGAAACTCCTACAACAACGCTGGCGATACTGCACTCCTCTTCTTCGGCGGAAGGATCTACTACACATGAATCTCCAATTTTACACACGGTCACCAAGATGGGCAAATTTTCAATTTGAATACGCGTACAATCATAGGGATCATCCGATATTAATAAATCAGCTTCGCCAGCATCCATCAGAGCTGCGGTAACACGTGGTATTTTAGTATTAAATAAAGCGGCTTTTGCCGCCAAAGACACGGCATCAAATAAATTTCCACCACACTCTAATATCTAGAATGAGGAATCTTAAAACTTACTACTTTACTGAAACTGTACTGTTATCTACCAAAATATCGACAAAGAGCTTCCAACATTGTTGACCAGGTAAAATACAAAGAGATTTTAAATCAAAGGCTTTAGGAGACTCATATGCATTTGTTAAAGTGTCTGCCAATTCCAAAGCCAATTCCTCCCCACCTCGTCCTTCAAACTCAGGAGCCGCATTGGCTGAACTAAAATAAAAAAATAATGATAAGCCAATATAGAGGTCTAGATCTTTTCCTTTTCATACCAATCGACGAAAAACTCTATTTTTCCTTGATCCGGAGTCAAATAATTTGGTTTGTCTATTTCAGTCTTAATGCCAACCAATACATCGGTGTTTGCTAGACGGAGTCTCGCGGAACCGCTAGCATTACTGACTAAATCGGTTTCTAATTCCATGGGCCGATAATCACGACGTGACCGTCCATCACATCGGAAATCCCCCTGTAAACTTAAAAAATAAGTAGTTGTTAAACTCTTTTGAAAAGTTTTACCTCGACGCCATGTAAAATATAAGTTTTCTCTGCTTCACTTAGAGATATATTAGCCATGTTCAACAAAAATTAGTTTCAAGGAGATTTTCTTATTCAACTTTTAATTATTGCCCCCCCCGATATTTTTCTAAAAGCTTTAATGTGCAGCTAGGAATGAAACTAGTTATGATCGATATTTCACTACCGGTGATTTTATCAACCTACAAAAAACGGCTGACCATATCGGGAAGAAACTATCGATTGTAGGGTCGCATACATATGTACATACATACATACATCAAAGAAAATTTTACTTCATTGTTAGCTGTGGTGCAAAATAAAGTCGGTGAATTTAAAGAAAGAATTAATAAAAATCCGTATATTCTATTTGTATATAAAAAAATGAGCAAAACAACATTTTTTAGCGCTATGTGGATAGAGAAGAAAAAATTTGAGGCCAGTGCGCTTAGGCCGACTGTGGAGTCAGTGCCTACAGTGCTGAAATACAGTGCAACGCCAACGTGGGACTCCAGCAGAACCTAGGAATGGAGGTGGAAAGACCAAACAGCGCTGAGGCATATGTTTTTAGCGACGAAAATTCAGACCCCGATGAAAAATATGAAGAATTGTCTAAGCTCAGTGGCTCTGAAAAAGCTTGCAAAATTAAGTTAATATTCGACAATATATTTTTACATATAAAACAAACACATAAACTAAATCGAATTGTATTTTTTAATTTGGTTTCATGTATATTTGGATATTTCGCTGCAAACTATTCACTAATTTATCAATTAATTAGAGATCAGAAAAATCACTAATTATCGCGATATTTTCCCAATAGTTTCATCGCTAAACTCACTTGTACATCACCAACTAGATGACATGTGTGAGCGAGTGAACATACTGTGAGGCAAATGCGCCCGTGTGTGCAAGAAAGGGATGCACTATCACACGCCCGGAGAAGTGGTTACTTTTTCCCCAAGCCCATACAAAACTAACCGCCAAACTGACGAAAAGTTTTAGTCGGTTTTCCCACTAAAGGCCCGTCCACATACAACTTTGGCGTTGCGTCGGCGCTGGCGTCGCTTTGACAGCAGCGCGAGTAACGCCCGCGCTTGCTACAATGAACGCTTAGCAGAGAATACTTTGGTCACTAAATTAACATACTAGCGGCACCAAAAACCAAAATTTTACATCAATAATTGCTTTAAAAAATATATTTCTTGCCCGCATTTGATTAAAAATGAAAATTGAATCACATAATTTTGATTATTTGGAACAGCTGACGAATGACGCGCGCGAAAAGTTGAGAGTTGGTCATCTTTCTGCGTTGTGTTGGCGTTGGCGTTGCCCAACTTTGGTTATGTGGAGACTTTCATATAAATGCATGTATTCATAGTCAGCTGTCGAAGCGACGCCAACGCCAACGCAACGCCAAAGTTGTATGTAAACGGGCCTTCAGTTTACCGATAATCATAGGTCAAGCTTCTTGCAGGGATTACTCCGCTTTCAGACACGTCTTGCTTTCAAGTCTGCTCATTCGTTGGCGAAGGTGGTGGGAAGAGAGGGGAAGGGTACAGATACCGTCAAATCGTTTCAAGTTTTCTTGTCTCTTTTGATCTTTTCGTTGCTTCCCATTTAAGAACCAAGGACTTGAATTCAATTAAAGTTGACGCGTGTGGAAGCAAATAGAAAACACAAAAGAGAATGCGAAAAAAATTGCGTTCAAGACTTGACGTGTCTGAAAGAGGACTAATTGTATCATGATCGATAGATGATTGCGACAACTAGGGTTGCCAGATTCTGAAACCGAGAAAAAGAGTACATTTCTATTTTCGTAAAAAAAGCAGTACGAGCATAATAAAGGAAACAATTTTTTTTTTAATTCTTTGTGCAATTTATTGTTACAAATTACCAAAAAGTAAATATATGTAAATTTAAGCGCGGCCGATGGCCTATAGGCGTTGACAAGAAAATAAAGTAGGCAACGCCAGCTTGTAAGCCAGTGTTTTGATACAAATTTTATCCTTCTTGCACATTCCTAATTCTTTTGGCTTTTAAAATTGCATGAGGGATTTGGAAAGATTAATAGCTGGAAGATTGAGTACAAAAGATGTACAAAAATAACAAAGGAGTACATTTCCCAATTTCCTTTTTTCAGAGTACAAGGCAGTAAATTGAAATAAATAGTACGTTTACTCCCAAAAATCGAAAAGTGGCGAAAAGAACGATTGCCGATTTTATTGATAAGGCAATTCGTCACCAACGTAAACTCGTTGGTCCGTTAAGGTCTGATTATTGCAACTTAACGTGACTTAGAGGCTGTCACTTAAAAATTCTCTTAAATAGATGTTGCTTATATTTGGACAGCCGGAACTGCTTTATTTTGATTTTCTAAGCAACGTTAAGTTGCCATAATGAGGCTTTAAGCCTGTGTCAGTCAAAGGAGCAGTTTGTGCAATCCGGTTCGCACTGCCATAAGTGAGTGTGAAGGATTAGATCCGTGCGAATGACGTACGCCGGATACAGTATTACTCATGACTAATGGAGGCCTGACTTATATGCTCCTTCGAGGGGAACTCCAACTAAACAAACGATGTTTGTTGGTGGAAAAGTATTTAACGATGTCTACAGAAATTTGGTTTAAAAACAGAATTTTTTTAGTGCAAATGGAAACTAACGAAAGAGTTAACAGTACTATCCCGTAGTACAGAAATCTGGGGCAAGTAGGGCACATAGAACAGGTAATAGCTCTGCTCACGTGTTCTCCAGCCCTCAATGAGACGTCAGAAATTGTACGAAAACGCTAACCTTGCAATAAGTTATATGAAATTTCAGCTAAATAGCTTTATTTTATATATTTTAACCTTACAATTCTAAAAATTAATTTCCCTATTTGTGTAAAATTTAAGAAGCAGCCGGTTTTCTTACTGGCAAATTATTCTAAATAGAAAGATATCCAATAAAAACTTGTTAGTTGGTAGTAACGCGAGGGAGCTGCTATTTATATACACACCTGCTGACAGTAATAGTTACAAAATTCAAAATTATATTGATTGTCACTTACATACATAATATGTATGTGTTCGTATTGAATAGTAGCTTATGTCTTTAAACGACAAGAAATTTTTTGATGAGACTTAATAAGAATATTGACTTCCTAGTATCGGAACTATTTATGCACGTTTATTTGTCAAAAGTTTTCCAACGGCTCGGCGCCAGTGAGCCATTCGCAATCGTGTGCTGCGAATGCCGCTTTATCTAAAGTCAGCCTTTCGACATAAGCTACTGTTCCATACGAACAGATATGTTTATTTGTTTATTTTTAAGAATTTTCGTTTAAATTATAGTTTGATCTACAACAGAAATTACATAAATAAAAGTTTCCAAGCTTGCACAAAGTTCACGAACTTTAATCAAACTTCAAAAAATTTGCATCAAGCTTTTATTCAAAATTTTTAGAAAATTATTTTTTTTTTTGTAAAATTTCCAGACTACCTTTTACGTGGTATTGAATTTGACGTTTACGAGGTATTGCGCATAGTGAATAATATATATATATATTTTTTTTCACCATGGTATTGCGCGCCGAGCGACGATATATTTTAAATGATAATTCTTAAAAATAATAAATAAACATATGCGGCAAACAATATTATTTTGAATATTGTAACTATTAATTTGAGCAAGAGTACCTATATATTCTTGTGGTTGTAAGAGCATACGAATTCCCCAATTTTGGGGGAGTGATGCTGGAGTGACAGTCCTGGCCAGATATAAATCTGGCCGTTCCGGTTTGTAAACCCGACTGTTGTTGGGACGTTTATACTCATATATTATACTTTACTGCTGTAACCACTTTAGCGATTGTGGTCGAGTTGAAAAGAGCACGCCAATCGTTTCTATTCTGAGCCAAGTGACGCCAATTTGAAATTCCAAGGGAATCCTCCCTCCCATTAGCAGCTACCAAGACGAAACACAGCTATTGCGTTCATTTGATTCCTTCCACTTATTTTTTGCTTAAATTAGATAAAAATTATGAAATAAATTTATGATATAACGATATAGTGCCTGCTTGGCCAATAATTCACACACATATTATGAGCAATGAAAATGAAAATATAAACTGCGTTATATAGAAATCTATAAACAAAACTCTAGGTGGCAGTACTTTCGAATTGAATTTTCAGCCCGCAGTATGTATTTCAAAATTTAAGTATAATTGTTTTCCTTTTGCAAATATTAGTTCGGTAAGGTGTACGTATGTATGTGTGTACATATTTAGCTAGTACTTTCTACTATAATATTGTAAAGCAACTCCTGCATATTCGCTCAATAAAATCAAGGTGTTTCACATACACTGTTCGTAATACTCAGTCACATGTCCACAAATGTTCTGTTGAGATTAACAAATGTTTTAATTAGCCCAAGAAAGTAATTGTTTCATATCTGGATCATTTTCTAAATAAAATTAAAAAGACAAAACGTATAAATAAATAGTATAGCTTAGTATATATTTTACATTACCATCATCTACGGCCGAAGTTGAAGCAGAGGCAGCAGCTTTCTTTTTCTCTGGAACTTTCTCTGGCATCTCATCCGCCGGTACTTCGGGCAATGTAACGTTTGGTTCTGGTATGCCGATAACTTTTTTATCAAACTCTTCTTGTTCTAATTCATCTAATTCACGTTCTAGGTCTTCATCGTCCAGATCAGCACCTATATATTGAATTTTAAAATAAGCAAATGTAAACAACAAATCTTTTGCAACATTTACCAAAGGCAACTGGGTTTGAAATAGCGTCAGAAATTTCACGCGCCACATCTTGTTGCTCAGCAATATCATCCATCATATCATGCACATTATCCACATCCCTGAAATATCGAATTACGAAAATTATAAATATACAAACAAGTTTTTTAAAATTGCGTTAAATGTGTACTAACATATTTTTATGTGCCGCTTTAAGCGCGTCAGCAGCATTTTTCATAGTCGTCAAAACAGCTGTGTTCGTGTTGGCGCTTTCCAATGCTTCGCGCTGCATTTCAATCGTGGACAACGTTCCATCAATTTGCTGCAGTTGCTTCTCCAAACGCTTCTTCTTCTTAAGCGCCTGTAAAGCAACTGAAATTATAAGAGAATATGTAGATTTAATCATACTTATGTACCTAGTACAACATTTTATACATGTTAATATATAGATATGTACATGTGTACATTGTACATACATATTGGCCATTTACTAACAGACTGCCACATCTTAAAAAGCATGTTTTAAATAATGATATGTCACTACATGCGAATTCAATTTTTTTCATACCTCATCGATATAGAATTTCAGGTCAAATGTATGAATTTATTTATGAGCACATACAAAAGTAGCGAAAATCAAATCGGGGAAAAGCTAATTAAATGTATTTGAACTTACATATCGACATACATATCTGTGTTCATATGGAAAAGTACTTATGTCGAAAGGCTGGCTTTAGTATAAATCGGCATTCGCAGCATATGATTACGAATGACTCACTGGCAGTGAGCCATTGAAGAACTTTGGGCAAATAAACGTGCAAGAAATAGCTCCGATGCTAGCAAGTCAATATTCTTATTAAGTCTCATCAAAAAATTCTTTGTCGTTTAAAGAATAAAGGTGAATGCCGCACTAAACTAAAGCCAGCCTTTCGACATAAGCTACCTTTCCATGCGAACACAGATATACATACATTAAAAATAATTTAATAAAAGTACTCAATATAAAGCATTAATGATTACTATCATTACGTTCTAAGCATTGGAATGGACGAGTCCCGGAATTGAAGATTTAAGCGTAGTTGTATGTAGCATTATTTTAGGAAGATGAAAGGAAGACAAAAAGAAAGATGTTTAATAATCAACAATGAGTCATTTTTTCCACCATTTGACAGATTCATGTATGGAAGCGACGCAATTTACTTGATTACGGTAAATCGCGATATAGCAAAAATAAAGGCATCGTCCAAATGCTCAAATCGCGAAATAATGCTCACCTCGTTTGTTTTTCGAAGCATTTTTCCTGGCAATGTTCAGCTCTTCCTCTATTTTTGATTCCAGAAACTCCTGCTTCTTGATGAGCATATTTTCTGTCTCACGAAGTTTCTGTATGGCTTCACCTGTGGTAGGAGCCACTTCTTTCTTTCCACCAAACACTTTGCCAAAGAAACTCATTGCAGCTCCACTTTGTTTAATACACGCTTAAAAATAAAACAATATCAGGCAAAAATCTACTTTATTAATTCTTCTTTTATCCTTCTTTCTTATAAAAAAAATTATTTTCGTTTTGACGTTTTCTGCGTCATCCCCAGCGTTGCCAAAGAAGCTTTGATTTTGTGAATTTATCCAAAAGCCTTCACTTTTACTTGAAGTCTGACCAGTGTTGCCGCGCAAATTGAAAAAAAATTATCGTTAAATAAGGGACCAAATGCAGCACTTTTTTAAGGGCCTGTGCCAATTCATAGAAAAGAGGAAATTTTGACGGATCAAAGTAAAAATTTGACATTTCTCGTGGTGAATACGATCGTCAGAATTTTACCTAGCTCATGGGGCTAGGTAAAATTTTGACAACTTATAAACATGTATATACATAGTATTGTTTGGCCGTAATAAAGAGTGAACACGAAAATGAAAGCTGAAAAAAGCACAAAAAAGCGTACGTTACTTGCAAGTTATGAAATATATATAAATTTTAACAATTTCAGTAACACACAAAAATAGAGCTTTCGCTCGAGCGTTTATTTGGTTTTTCAACTGTCACAATTTTACTTTAAATTTGGCATAGCAAATTTTTCCACCCCGTCTCACCACAGAGAAAAAAGTTACCGAATGGCACAGGCCCTAAGTATCAAAGTATCGGTAATTATCTAGTTCGGCTGTCAACCCCCAAAATGTTTTGTTAATAACTTTTGATCGGGTAAAAAAAGTTAACTTCCGCTTTCGGATTTCTATTATTGGGGACCAGACGCGTCTAATGGTACCCCCTTTGACCAATTTTGGGGGTTGAAAGCCCACCTAGATAATTACGGATTGTAACCTTCACTTCCTTCTCCTTTCTGTATTGCCATAAAAAGAAGCCGAAGTTTTCGTTTGACAGATTTTACATGGACGAAAACACAAGTTTTAGGTCGAAATCCCGTTTTAGCAACGAAACCATGTTTTCGATGTCGGTCAGAACGTGGTATTACTGTTCTTTTTTCTATTTTGTATAAATGTAAATATTTTCGTCCAAGCGACGATAAAATTTTTCTTCTTATTTTCTAATTTGCAGCTGTGTCCAGCGTTTGCCGCTTCGTTTAGATTCACGAAACATTTGTAAATTTTTTCCTGACTGTTTATATGTTAAATTTTTCTTCGTTTTGCATAATTATTTCTACGACTCCTGTCAAACAAAAGCAAAAATAAAGAAGGAAGTTTAATGAATTATGTGGTAGTTTAAATCTACACTGCAGTCTCTCGTGATCTTGTGAAATTTGATTTGCCTTTTTAATGTGCTTTATTTGAGCTCATAGTGGGAAAGCTTTTTTTGTGCAAAAAATTTGACACTAGGCTATGCTACCGAATGCATGAGTTCTTCATTTCATGAATTCGGTCTCATAAACCTAGTATGTAATCATGATACAATAATACAAGGTGTTATCGGTTGGCAACTTCTCGCTCGAATTCCGCCATAATAATATAGTTGAATTTTTTATATTTTTTTTCAGTATACACATTTGGTTTTCTCAAAAAGGTATTATATCTTATTTTATTTCGTTTCATTGCGAATATACTATAAGAAAGCAAATTTTGTATAGAAGAAAATATGAAATTTTATATTTTTTCCCCAAATGGGGATCCTTTCTTGCCGTTTTTCTTCTTATTCTACTGAGCTAAAGCAGTGTCACATCGAGCTGTCACATCTGGTACCACCTTGTATTATTGCATCATGGTATGTTATATCTGCACGCTAGTGGAGATGGAGTTCAGTATTGATATTGAAAATAGAGATAACATCCGGATCTATCGATAGTTTTTTATCTCCGCAATGTACGGACAAAACAATCTTGTATACAATTGTAGAGGAAGTAATATTGCGGGATTCATTTATAAAAAATGGCCAATCGAACTGTTAAAGAAGCAAAAAATATTCATGGAACCAATCCTCAATATCTGGTTGAAAAAATTATACGCTCCCGCATTTACGATTCGAAGTATTGGAAGGAGCAATGTTTTGCACTCACTGCTGAGCTGTTGGTAGACAAAGCAATGGAGCTGCGATTCATTGGCGGTGTTTACGGCGGAAATATAAAACCTACACAATTCCTTTGCCTTACGCTTAAAATGCTACAAATACAGCCCGAAAAGGATATCGTTGTGGAATTTATCAAAAATGAAGAGTTCAAATATGTAAGGGCCCTGGGTGCTTTTTATTTGCGGTATGCTTTATAAGCTTATTCTCAAAAATGCATTTAAATTAGAACTTTTTAACCTATAGTCTTACAGGAAGCGCATTGGATTGTTATAAATATTTGGAACCTCTATATAATGATAATCGTAAACTTCGACGCCAAAATAGGGCCGGGCAATATGAAATTGTTCACATGGACGATTTCATAGACGAGTTGCTCCGTAGTGACCGAGTTTGTGATATAATTCTCCCTCGTATACAAAAACGCGCTGTACTTGAGGAAAATAACGAGCTTGAACCAAAAGTATCAGCGCTAGACGAGGATTTGGATGACGATGTGGTCAGTGATGAAGACGGTGGCGGGGAAAGGGATCATGACAAAAACAAATCGTCTTTCTTACCTAAGAGGAGAATACGCAAAGATCATTCGCGTTCACGTTCACGTAGTGCTTCAGCATCTCGCGATGCAAGAGGCGGAAGATCTCGCGATTATGATACTGACTTAGAAGACTATGGTCGTCCACGTGATCGTGAAAGGGATAGATTTGGTGTTAGTTCGACATCAAGCAGTAGTCGCCATTGGGAAGATCGCGGCGGTGGTGGCAGCTCTAGTTATCGCAGTGGACGCGATGATTATAGAGACGAATATAGAAGAGAAGACTATAAAGATAGACGTTATGACCGTGACTCACGAAATGAACGGGACAGAAGGCGTCACTAATCACCAAACAAATGTTACAAAATCAGAAAAAAATTTTTTAACGGTAGCGGATGTATGGATATATGTATGTATATATGGTATGGACATAATACATAATGGTTATAGTTCTAGTATAATTAAGGGCGAATAAAATCAAGACAACACTGCACATCAAAAAAAATGGAAAATTCTGCTTACCCATAGAATTCGGAACAATTAGTCAACGCACAAAAATGTACATATAACAAATTTATTTTAAAGAAAAGTTAAAAGTAGATGGAATAACGCATGTTTTCTGAAAAAAATTTAAATCAACTTACTTTGCCTGCGACTGGACTTGCAATTTTAAAAATAATTGACAACCATATATGACCAGATTTAGATAATTTAAATATTATAAAAGTTGAAGTTGCATCATCTCAATACATACATTTGCACATAGTATGTATCATCTGACTTCGGAAATTAATGATATCAACATCTCTACGTGATTATCGAGAAACAAGCAGGTAAACACTTTTGATGTTTCCGAATTTAGTATGTAGTGACAGTAGTGTAGTGTGTAAATTTCGCCCACTTTCCTCAAAAGCGTATTAAGTAAAAATTCATCGTTTGTCCAATCATATGGGCAAGGGAAACTAAAACTTTTCGGACACATTATTCGAGATTTTGGTAATGGGCATTGACTAACATTGTTTCAGTCAAAAGTAAAAGTTAAAACTTAACTTTTATTTCTTCGGCCAAATATAAAAGTTAAACTTTTACTTTTATTTTTTCGGTCAAAAATAAAAGCTAAAAATTGACTTTTATTTTTTCGGTCAAAATAGCACTTTACATATTCGCAATGCAATATGTTTTAATAAAAAATGCACATCCTTCAATTGACTGAAAACATATCGGTGAAAAAATAACGATTTTTTTGCATTTTTTGAAAAAAAAGCATAACCGTTACGGTCCCTGGTTTTGCATAATAAAAAGTTAAACTGCGTTTTTAGTTTTCTCTCTGAGGTCAGGTTTCTTTTAAAGGACTGAAATTTCAAGGATATATTAATTCAAAATATTCAGTACAAATTATTCGTGGAATAACCATATGGGTGCTAAATGAGAAAGAAATTTTTGTAGAATTAACAATATTTTTTTTGTTCACTAGGACGTACATGACCAATTGAGGAGTTTTTACATTTTTCGAGAAAAACGTATTTTTGGTAGAAAATAATTGTAAACATATCTTGGACAGTGCATTATCTTCAGGTTTGTATAAATAACAAGATTCCGCTGCGAAGTTGTATTTAAATGAAAACTTAATAAAGATAAAAACTACACAAACAAATTATACGCATATTGACAATCAGTACAAAACAAAACTACAACAACCACATCATTTTGACCAACACGTTTTCGGCTGTTTTTTCTGAAATTGCCTGATAGAATTTTTCGTTCACGCTTTCGTACGCTTTCCTTCTGCACTTCATAGATACTTTTTCATGGTTCAGCAGAAATAAAATAAAATTACGAAGCGCCCGACGGAATACGAACCCGGCACCTTCTGGAAGCTAACAAATAGCGGCATACTCCTGTGCACGCTCAGCCACTGCCGACTACGCCTGCATGCTTTCAAATGTTTAGCTTCAGCAAATAATATACAATAATTGCTTTCAAATGACATCATCCTATTCGAACGTTTTCCGGATACGAAAATTGATGATAACTGTAGGAGTTTTTTCTGTTCGTTTTCGGATACGGAAAATTGAACTGCCGGCAAAATTTACGTTTCTTTGCTGGCTAGGAAAGTAGAATTGTCCTTTTTTGTTTTTTTTTTTAAATTTGTGAGAATTTTTCAACCTCTAAAAATTTTGCTAACAGCCGCACTCAGAAATGTTCCTTAAATTAGCTCTAACGGGCACTTAACTAATGATCGTTAAATCTGTTAATTAATGTTTCCTGTCATAGTTAAAAATTATGAAGTGAAAAATTTAAGTATGGCCCCAGTTGCGGCCCTTTATTTTTGTGGCATCACTCACTTTTTTCGTTCAGTTTGAAATCTATATATATAAAAATGAAATGTCTTTCGTATGATCGCAATGTACTATTTTGGACCTTCTGTGTGGAAAGTTTTGCGATAAAAAAAATTCAAAGCTTTTTGTTGTTGTTGTCAAAAAATTAAGAAAGCTGAGACGTCACGATTTCACAATTTCATAAGAGTTTTCCGTAAATTGTATGTCACTATATCACCAAACGGCTGGACCGATTTCGTTCATATTTGGAACATATATCAGCACCTTGAAGGGAAATATTCCGACTAAAAATTTAACCGCTAGGTGGCGCTGGGCCGGGTTATTCCTAAAGACTGCATTTAGTTGCAGATTTGGCTTATATTTAGAATATTTGTTAGGCAATGGAAAAGGAATATTTGGACTAAAAAATAGGGCGCGCTGGGGTAGCAATATTCCTAACGTTCTAATACAGTGGGAGAATGATGGATATCTACACATATATCTGTGGTCGTAAGCAATAAACGCCTAAGTCGACTTAAGAAAGAATCGAGCTATATATGCTATCGTTTTCTGCAACTACTATTTCATGTCTACATGAAACTCCCATCTCGTTAGCTATTCTATTTAAAAAGTTACAGAGGAACATATTTTGGTTGGTTTCCCCATAAGGTTAACATTACAATCCAAATCTGGCAAGGAATGATTCGACCACATCCGTCCAAGAAGGAACACGGTTGGTATATCAATGGCTTCATTAAAACGATATTCAAGAGATGAAACGACTCATTTAGCCGATGTAGGGGAAAACTTTTCATACTGTTAGGTAGCGAGGATTTTTGGCCCTACTATAACAAAAAACGCTCAAATGTGATCTTAGGCTTTCTTATAAGGACTTTTATTAGCTTACGCATCGTACCTATGTTGTAGGTGCAAGATCAAAGAAGATTATGCACGCTTGGCATAGATTTGACAGGTGGAAATAGGACCATCGCAAAGCTCATGTCATCGAAAGGGTAGTGTCCACAGGGTGGTGTCCTTTCGGCGCTACTGTTTAACTTTTATATTTCAAAGCTTCCTCAACCACCAGAGGGAGTCTCGATTGTCTCTTACGCAGGCGGTTGCTCGATCATGGCGACTGGGAATGGAATTGATGACTTGTGTTCGAAAGTAAACGGGTATCTCTCCGAGCTTTCTCGCTTCTTCACTGCAAGGAGCCTAACCCTCTCCCCTACGAAATCCTCTGCGACCTTGTTCACCACCTGGACGAAGGAGGTCAGGCTTCCGCTGGGAATTCACGTCGATGATACACAAATTCCGACGGTGAATAACCCCAAAATACTCGGAGTAACCTTCGACAGTCTGCTCTCCTTCTCTGCGCACGCAACCGCTATTGTCAACAAAGTACAGAGCCGCAACAAGGTCCTCAAGTCGCTAGCCGGCAGTACTTGGGGCAAAGACAAAGAAACGTTGCTGGCAACATACAAGGCAATAGGCCGGCCGGTTTTGAACTACGCAGCACCAATGTGGCCGCCGGGGACTAGTAGGACGCAGTGGATGAAGCTGCAGACGACACAAAACACCGCACTACGGACAGCGACTGGATGCATTCTGATGTTGCCTGGACCCCACCTACACGACGAGGCGAAATTGCTCCCGATCAAGGAGCATAATACAATGCTCTGCAAGCAGTTCCTTGTTGTGAGCCATAGACGTGGTCACCCAAATGGGCAGCTGCTTGCAGAAGAGCCCTCGCCAAGGCACGTCACGAGGCATCTCTACGAACTGACGGACGAAGTCCAGAGGTTCATTAAACAACCTCTGTACCCGTCAGCATATTGACAGGCCCTGAACGGCATTCACAGGGACTCAGTCTCGAGTTGTGTAGACTCCAGACCTGTGAATGCCGTTCTAGGCGCACATTGACGAGACGGAGCTTCATCTGCCTCGGGAGATAAGAACCACAATAGCCCAACTTCGCTCTGGCTACTGCAGCAGGTTAAACTCATACCTAAGCAGACTAAACGCAAATGTACCAAATGAGTGTCTGGCATGCGGGGAGACACCTCATGACTCGAAACCTTTCTTCGTATGCCTGGAAAACCCAGCAACCCGTAGCCGCTACAACAACAACAACAACAACATCGAAAGGGATTAGTAATGTCGAAATTGAAATTTATTGGAAACAAACAAAAAATTGCAAAATCTTTCGTTAAAAAGTTAAGTAAAGGTTTTTGATTACTTAACTTTAATGTTCATTAAATGCCGTTAACAAATCATTGCCTGACTCCGAGAAGGAATTTTTTCAAATCGTTACTGAGGACGCCTTAACTAATCATTAAACTACTCTGAGTGCGGTTCTAACACTTGTAGTAAAATACAAAAAAATGTGATACATACATACAGACTAGGGCATTCAATCCCGAAGCATTTTAACAATCCCGGTATTTCAGGATGCAAAAATTCTTACCCCGGGATCCCGAGATTTTTCGGGATTTCGACTTACGCACAATTTTTTTCATTTTACAATAGGTTCGCCTTTTTCAAACCACACAGATTTCTTGTCACCACATTTGGTCTTAGGGGAGCATAATGCCCCTTAGTAAAAAGTAAATAATTTGATGTTTATATATTTTGATAGTATTCTAAAATATCTATATTACTTGTCAAAAACATTTACTCATATTTGCAGAAATCATCGGAGCTGTAATGCCGGAAAATCGGGACATGGAAAAGTGTCCAGGATTCTGGAATTCCGGGATTATGGATCCCGGGATTGAATGCCCTAATACAGACGTCTGTAACTTGGTTAATTTCTTGTGCATACTTTTGACATCGGTAATAAGAATTTTCAGAAAATCCATTGTTTTGTAATTTCATGATGGAGCAATATTATTTTGTCTTGTCCTGAGTTTCGCCTGAAAAAAAAATTCACCCGAAAATTTGTCAGCCGCCCATAGTAAGACCATGGAAACCAATAGTGAAAAGTGAACCGGTTCGGGGAAAATGAAACTTAGGATAAGGCTGATTTAGATTCTACCCAAGGCAAATTCTATCTATGTAGTAATTAATTTTTTTAAAATGATTTTTTATTAATTTTCTTAAAAAATAGGCTTACAAAATAGCGCCTAATCATGTAGCTTAAAATTGCTCAGAGTTTGAGAAAATCGATGATTTTTGACTCTTGCTCTCCGACTTAAACAACACAAAAGGTATGATTATGATAAAAATCAACTATCAAATTTTAACACTTACATATGTACATACATATAATTAGATTCTGAAACTGCTAACAATAGTTGTAATATATATATATTTTTTTTGTTTGTTTTTTTAACTATTTCGCCTTATTTGGCTTCGTTGAGGCAGTACCGTTGGTATTAGTTTCTCCTTGGCATATACGTTTGCTAAAGTGTTGCTCAAACGTTGCCCGAATGTCGGCTAATGCTTTACAAATATTTTCGGCAAACCGGTGAACATCCTAAAAAATGCAAATTATAACAATTATCATAAACTCCAAAAAAAAGAATATGTCGCTTGCATAAACTTACCGTTTGCTTGCAGTTTAATTTAGCTGATATGTGGAAGAAGATTAAGTTTTCACCGGCTATGATATACGATACGCCGTAGCCGTCATCGGCCACCGGGCCAAAACCCCCGCCTGAGCTGATGCAGTTTGGATGCTTCTTCAAATCCATTTTCGGGGTTTGTCCGTGAGGTGTTTGACTTGTTGACAAGCGCCACGGTTCGCTTAATACCTCGTTGA